CTGGAGAGGAACAGATGGTGGCTGAACACAGACAATAGGCTGAGGGATCAACTTCACAGAGTAGACACTGTCCATACCGCAGGTGGGGAAACTGAGGCTACCGCACTCAATGCAGTTCCAGATATATGTCTGGTCAGTGAGACTGCCACATGTTCAGCCCAGAGCACCATGCTGCCCTCTGCACAAAGTGCCATCTCTCCATGTGACCATGAGGGCAGAGCTGGTTAACACAGAACCACCTCTCCACAGAGGCTCAGTGTGCACCCGACCACACCTGTACAACAGGTCTATGCTGTGTGTCTTCAGCTTGCTGCTATTGAGCCCAGAGCTTCTGGAAGCATCTGCTGTTTCACTGAGTCAGCAGGAGAACTGGCTGTGTCCTGTGTGTCCGTTCCCAGGGAGGTCACTCTGGGAACTGCATCTCACTTCTACAGCAGGCTGTGAAGAGTGTCCATGCTCATCTTCACGGGGTTGAGCTCCCCCAGCACGACTAGCACTGTTACTCACTATTCCACAAGCTATTGGCTAGTTGGATCCTTTGCACACGACTCTGGTCATTTTGGCCATGCCTATACATCTGTTTACTTAGTATTCTTCCATGTATAAGCGATGAACCAAGGTTGGAATCTGGGCCCTACCACTTACTAACTTTATGTTGTTGGACAAGGTCCTTATCTTCCCCTCTCTGTGCCTCATCTGTATACTGAAGACAATGATGGCAACTTCCTGGAAGGGTTGCCATGACAGCTTTACGAGCCACTGCTGGTGAAGCTCTGACTATCACCCAGCACACAACAGGCATTCGGTGCATGCCAGCAACCACTGTTGCATTTATTTAAAGGGGAAACTCTATGTCCTACCTAAAGTGATAAAAGTCAGTAACAGTTAACACAAATAGAGAGCTATAAATGCAATGAAAACAGTTATTACATTCCAGCTATTGCTTACTAAAGGTTCCACACCAAGACCTGCTCTCTTTTTCCCAAGAAGAGAGACAAGGAAGCATAAGAAAGCTGTCGAAGGCACACTGGGCTTACACAGGGTGACCACTTCTGGATCTGCCCAGGCCTACCTGTTCATAGCAACTCTCTTCCCAGACACTGGACTTCAAACACAGAATCCCTCCTTGGTACAAAAGACTGTGAGGATCTTGAAAGAGTGTCCAGACCTTGTGATTGTCTGTGCTTAAGGCTGGCCAGCACCCCACTGACAGACATCTTGCAGACCGGGCCTACACTTCAGGCCACACAGCACATATCTGCCTCTGAGAACTGAGTTTCCAAACATGTGGGAAAGCCATCATGCCATGTGTGTCCCTCAGATAATCCTCTAGGGAAATCCACACCACAAACACCACTAACAGGAAGGCTGATTAAACTTCCACAGCTAACATGACTCTGCACGGAGAATCCATTGCAAAGCCACTGTGCTTGAAGAATCGCTAACATGCAGAGAAAAGATCACAGTGGAATGTGCAGCTTAAAACAAAATCAGACTACAAAGCCATTCGAGGTCTTAGATTCATAAAAACATAGAACAATGTAAAGACCCTCCAGGGCTGGGATACGGCTCAGTTGGTAAACTGCTTTTCCAGTGTTCTAGTTTGCTTTCTGGGATAAACCCATGACCAAAAGCAACTTGGGGAGAGAGAAGCCAAGGCGGGAACTCAAGGCAAGAGCTTGAAGCAGAAACCACAGAGGAATGTTGCTTACTGGCTTGCTTCCTGTGGCTCTGCTCAGCTACCTTTCTTATACAGCCCAGGCCCACTCACCCAGGGATGGAAATGCCCACCCTGGGCCCTTCCACATCAATCAGCAATTAAGAAAATGCCCCACAGACATGCCCACAGCCCAGTCTGGTGGAGGCAATTCCTCAGTTGAGATTCCTTCCTCCCAGGGATTCTTAGGTTTGTGTTGACAAATATAACTATGGCACCCAGAACACATGAAGTTCTGAGTTTGATAAACTGCAGCACATATACTGAGAGCAGTGGTAGGTACTGAGGAATAAGATCAGAAGTTCAAGGCCATCTTCAGCTACTTGTTGAGTTCGAGGCCAATCTGGGCTATCTAAGATCTTGTCTCAAAAGCAGGAAAATGGAGGAGAGGAGAAGGGTGGAGAAGAGCTTATAGATGTACCTCCTGAAACATGCCTAATCTCATATGATCTCAGACGCTAAGCAGGGTCTGGCCTGGTCAGTCCCTGAATGGTAAAAATGTAAATAAGAAATATACCATCATAGTAGCAATTATTGCCTCTGAATGATGAGATTCTGAAATGGTTCTCTTTATAATTACTTCTGAATTTCTTTTTTATTCTCATTTCTGTATTCCCCAAGAAAGTTTAGCAGAAGCATAAACTACTGTTACTACCAGAAAATAATTGAATAAAAATTATAAATAAAGGAAAATAATAAGAAGTAAAATTTTAATTACATTATTTAACCATGTTGTTATTGAGAAGACATTTTGCTAAATTCAAGATTGTTTTGACAATTTCACACACGCGCGCGCGCGCACACACACACACACATACACACACACACACACTGAATTGTGATCATATTCACCCTCAATACTCTCTCTTATCTCCCTCCCATTCCCGCTCCCCCTTCTCCATTAGTCCTCTTCTGCTGTGTCTTATTTCTATTTCTTTTTTGACCACTGAGTTAACTAGGGTTGTCTGTGTAAGCATGGGTAGGGGCTAGTACTAGAATACAGGCAACTTAGCAGCTACACTGATGAAAACAAATGGCACCAAGACAACCATTAACTGCCAACAGCTCCTGGGGAAGGGTGGGGCCTTGTGAGACCCTCCCTAATCCATGATGGATTGTTGAAGGATCCAATCTTGTGCCTAAGGCCAGTCCTAGCACAGTTTTTTATATCTGTCACTGGCTGGGGAAGCTTTTCTGTCTGGTTGTCACTTGCTTTCTACTCCCCTAGAGAAATCCCTAGCAGGGTAGGCAAGGTTTGCTCAAGGTCACAGACAAGAGTTACCTCTGCTCAGGTACCAGGTCCAAAGGTCCACCATGTGAGGTTGACCAGGGCTGTCACCTGAACCCCTAAGTCCACAGGGCTGGTATAACGGCCCCTTTTCCTTTCTCTTTGATTTCCCTGTTTGGATAGCAGCACTCAATAACTAGCCCTGGGACCTGAGTTACTAACTACAGGCAGAATGACATCTACTGCAGAAGTTCTCCCATCCTAGAGAGAACCAGCCTACGCTAGAGAGAGAACCAGCCTGCGCTAGAGAGAGAACTTCAGTCTCCCAACTGCTGGAGCCCATTTATCATATAAACAATCCAGTTTCCTCCCAAGAACTCCCAGAATGCTTTATCCCCAAGCTAAGAGCCCTGGGCCTATTGGGAATTGGGAATCACATGGTTCTTACTCAACCTACCTAAGATACTGGGTCACTTGGCGGCACTAAATGCCTTCTAGCCCTAGGCCCCCATCTGTAAAGCTGAGGTTCAGACATAAGTCCTAACAATGCTGTGGGGTCATGTGACACTTCATGTCATAGCCCCAGATGAGCATGAGGGTTTGTGCTCCTCCTACTGTCCTCTCAAGAAACAGGACCCAGCAGAGGTGAATGGGGCATGGGTGTGTGTGGGGGGGGGAGGGGTCAAGAGCAGAACCTTTGGAGATAGTCAACTGGGGTTAAATCAGCTGTGCAACTTCTCTGTGGCTCAGAAAATACATTTACAGGCAACGTCTTGTTCGTGTTGTGGCAATTAGCAGTTTTCCTTCCCAGAGGGTCATAAAGGGTGCATGGAAGTGACTCACCACCACGCATATGGGAGGAGACATAGGCTTGAGTACAAACAGCCACCTCCAGCACATGTACACACATGCCACGGAATTATGAACCAAACGTAACAATGACAACCGTTTTGTCGCTTAGTCGAAAATCAGAGGCCAGTATTGGAGGTACTCACAGTTGTCAGGAGGGAAACCATGCAGACCGGCTTTCAAATCCTAGCTCTGACCCTTCTTCTGTGCCTTAGGCAAGTCACAGAACTGAGGAGGAGGTAGCTGCACAGACCCCACTGGCATGTGTTACCTTCCTGCCAGGTCCTGCCTCACTTGTGCTCCAGCCTGGCAGCTCTGGCACCTTCCTCCTCCTCCATGCAGAACGAAGCTCAGCCAAGTACAGGGCTGCCTCGCTTCCTCTGCCACCCCAAAGCTGCCTGAAGAGTGTTAAAGAGCAGCAGCTGTCACTTGCGGAGGCAGGAGCGCCAGCCAGGGGTCCCAGGCCATGCTCTTGTTTATGCAGACTGTGAGGCCTCTCCAGCTTTTACAACTGTTTACTGCGCAGAAGGAAGCCAGCAGCTGGGCCTCTCCTGGGCCTTGCCCTGCTACCTTCCCTTTGGGAAAGCCTGTCTGAGTGCCACTCATGCTGGGAACAGCCTCCAATGACCTCTGGAGGGGCACAGGCTGGAACACAGGCACACACACACACACACACACACACACACACACACACACACACACACTCACCATGAAAGAGTGCAAGGTATGGTGGGCTAGGGGACAGGGTACAAAAAAAGAGATTGGTTCAGAGATTGTTCAGGAGCTGTGGACAGAGCACAGGTCGGGAAGGTCAGGCATAGAAATGGAGCAGAGTCAAGGATGGAGATGGCTGGACCAACAGCAGTTCACATACGTAGACCCCAGGGAGAAGAAAGCAGAGGCACCGGAAGTCCCGGGGAAGCAAACCCACCCTGCCCATCCTGCACAGCTCCGGCATTACTCTATGGCCACAAAGGATCCCACAGGAAAGCCAGGGCTGAGGGTCTCCGTGAGAAGTCACATCTTCACCCCAACCTGCACATGCTTTCCAGAAGCAAGCAGAAGAGGCAGGATTTAGTGAGGACCGAGAGCTTCATTTCTTATTTAAAACTTAAGACAGCAACAATAAAAATACTCGGCTAAAATAGCACCCAACCAAGCCACTTCCCCTGCAACTTAAAGTGCCCCCATCCCAGCACCCTGTACCTTTAAGGAGGAGAAGGCGCCTCTCTGCTTCCCTCAGACTGAAGAGGCAGGTTATTCTAGGCAATAGCGATGACTTACCTAAAACTGAGTTATTCCCCTTTCCTCCCTGGCCAGCCTCTCTTCACTCTGGGGAGCTTTTACCATTTAAGGTCAATGTTACATCTGGCTCCAGAGCTCCAAGCTGAAAAGCTCTGGCTGCAGAGCCCCGGCTGCCTGCCTCCTCCTCAGAGAGGGGCTGGGATGAGGGGCTGGGACTGGGAACCAGAGTTCCACCAGGCCCCCTGCAGCCTGGCTCTGGGGATAAAGGCAGGAGAAGCCTCCCAGCCAGCCTCAGGGTTCAAGGAAGTTTGGGCCTGAGTGGTAGCCCCTCATCCTGGGCTCTTGCAGGGGCACCCCCGTAGCCCATGGCAGTGCCTGGGGGGCAGTTGGAGATGCCCAACACTGTCCTTGCCAGAGGGGGATGAAGGGGACATATGCAAACCAGTCTCCCACCCCTGAGTGTCCAGCAAGCATGTGAGCCTAGATAAGATCCTGGCCCAGTGCCAGGAGAAGCTGGGAATGTTTCCTGTCCCATGGATTTGGGGGCGGAGGCTACTCCCATGTTAAACCCTCAGGATTGCCAGAGAGAAGGGCATGGTGAAGAAGATTAGCTAATTCCAGGCCTGGCAGCAGCCCCAGGGGTCAGTCCCAGCTCCTTCACTTAACAGTCCTGTAGCCTTAACATGGCAAAGCCTCAGTCTATTCATCTCTGAAGTGGGACAATAGTGAAAGATCAGGACACTGTGGGCCAGGGTCTCATAGGTACTAGAACAGCATGGATGAATTTCTTGCCCCCACTACACCCCTCAGCTCAGGTGGGGAAAGCTGCCTCTCTTCTGGAAGTCCACACCCTGCCAATGTTTGTTCCTCACCTTCCTCAGATACAGTACCCAAGGCTAGGATCACAGAATGTCAAGCCTAAAATAACCACATGGGGGCTCCACCGCCCCTTCTGCCATTAGAGATCTCAGCCCTTAGGTGGGTAGCAGATAACCACAGGATAGTCAAATTTAAATCTCAAATGAAATGCAATTATTTCCATATAAGGATGCCCCAAATACTGCATGAGACATGCTTGTGCCACAAGATCATATGTGGTTCATTTAAAGTTCAAACGTAACTGGGCATTTTACTTGCTAGACCTGAGAATCCAGCCCTGGCCATTACTTTGTTAGTCCTGAGTGAGAATATGAGGGATTGGAGCTCAATCAATGGGCTCACGTCTTCTTCTGCCAGGATGAGCAAAGGCCCCATCTTCAGCCCCTAGCCACAGGCCAGTCACCAGAGCAGGTGCTCTCAGACTGATCTGGACCAAGTAGTGCTCTGGCCAGGCTGGCTTCCAGCGCACGGTCCTGGCCTGTCTCTCTTGGGTGTTGAGTAAGCTTCCTGCTGGGTGGCAAATCTGCCTGCTGGCTTCATTAATCACTCTTTCTCCTGGGAATCCACATCTGTCTGTGGATGTGCATCCCACTGGCAAAGCCACATGTGGAAACTACTAACATGGACTGGGCTGTCTAGCTGTGCTCTGCCGACCTCAGAATGACTCAGATCTCTAAACCTGAACTTAGAGGCTCTGGACTTCTCTTCCAAAAGTTCTCATTTCATAGACCTGAGTCTGAAACAAGACACAGGCACCTGGTCCAAACTAAGGTCCTCTGTGACTCTCAACATTCCTAACTTTGAGACATGTTGCTCTAAACCCATGATTCTCAACCTGTGAGTCCTGACCCTTTGGGAGTCAAATGACCTTTTTACAGGGATCACGTATCAGATATGTTGCTGCTGCATATCAGACATTTATATTATGATTCATAACAGTAGCACAATTACAGTTATAAAGTGACAATGAAACAATTTTATGATTAGGGATCACCACAATATGAAGGACTGTATTAAAGGGTCGCAGCATTTTGGGAAGGCTGAGAACCACTGCTCTAAAGGGTATTATAGGAACCAGATGCTAAAAATGGAACCTCAGGCTTTGTGTGCTTATGAGTGTGTGCACACACTTGTACAGGTGTAAGCCACTTAGCAAATGCCTCCTATATTTCTAAACAGTACATTAGATCATTTTCATGAAAGTGTGTGTCTACCTCACAAGCGTCTTATCAAACAGAATTATTGCATTTTTCCTTTGAAGAGGAAACTGAGGCTGAAAGAAATGGAGCAATGCTTCAGATGCTCTGCAGCCTTGAGTGCCAGGGCCCAGCTGTGAGCGGAGGTGGTTCCATCCTCTTCACCATCCACCACCCCTTCCACCACAGTTCTTATCCCAAGGTCATGGGTGGCCTCTGTGAGTCTCTGAGCCAGCATTCTATTCCTGTGTCTCTTGGTAGAGGCCCAAAGCTTGCCCCAGCCTCACAAAGCAGTCACCAAGTGACTTTTTAAAACTCACTTCAGTGACAAGCATTTTGTAAAACATCCCTTGGTGAGTGTGCAAAGCAGAGCAAGCTCTATAGAGGACACATCAGCACTGCCAAGGCTAGGAGGCCCATGCCCTTTGACCCAGTTCTACTTCTAGGAATTTATTTTATAAACAACTCCCACACTTGGGAAATGACAGATGCACACGATTACTCATTGTAGCACTGTGTATAAAAGCTGGGGGATTAGGAATGACATAAATGTGCACTACTTGGGGGTCATAAAAGAAGATGGGGTGCAGCCATAATAAAGGAGGAGGGAGCCAGTGCCCTAGTGATGGGAAAAGACCTCTAAGACAGTGGTTCTCAACCTGTGGGTCATGACCCCACACCATCACATATCAGATATTTACATTATGATTCATAATAGTAGCAAAATTACAGTTATGAAGTAGCAATGAAAATAATTTTATGGTTGGGGGTCACTATAACATGAGGAACTGTATTAAAGGGTCCCAGCATCAGGAAGGTTGAGAACCACTGCTCTAAGATGTATTAGTACATGGGAAGATAGCTAAAAAAAGATCTACCACATGGGTGGGAAAAGTGTGTGTAGATGCATATTTATGTACATACGAAGACACTTATGTCCATTCATATATACCCACACTCAGAGTGCACTCAAAAGCAGGCACAAAAGTCAGTAATATTAAAGCATTATCCCTGGGAAAGGAATCTAAGTTGTGGAATAAGGATGCATCACTGGGCCTAGTGAGACGGCTCATGTGATGACGGTGCCTGCTGGCAAGCCTGACCACCTAAATTCAATTCCCAGGACCCACATGGTGGAAGGAGGGAACTGACTCCAACAAGCTGTCCTCTGGCCTCTTCCTGCCCACCATGCTCACGTGCATACATACAAAAAAAAAAAAAAAAAAAATGAAGACGGGCAGTGGTGGCGCACGCCTTTAATCCCAGCACTCAGGAGACAGAGCCAGGTGGATCTCTGTGAGTTCGAGGCCAGCCTGGTCTACAGAGTGAGATCCAGGACAGCTTCTAAAACTACACAGAGAAACCCTGCCTTGGGAAAAAAAAAATGAAATGAAAAAAATTTAAAGACTAACCACTGTATTCACTGTGTCTTACTTATGCATTTAAGGTCTTGGGCCACAGGACTAAGTCATGTGTTTACATTCAATAATAATAATAATAATAAAACAAAAGCATTGCTCTGAGCAGAGATTTAATTAACTTGTCTTCCAGCGCTGCCTCTGCCAACTGTCAGGAATGCTGGGAAGATTCTGACTAAAGGTTATTAGTGTGTGTTTTTTTTAACTTTTATTTTGGAACAATTTCAGGAATACAGGAAGTTATAAAAATAGTAGAGTTTCAAGTACTCCTTCATCAGCTTCTCTCAATGGTGGCACTTATAACACGGCTATGTATTTCAGAACCAGGAAATTGACATCAGGATGTAACTGTTAACTAGATGCTCTTATCCCCATGGTTATTTTTTAAATGTAATCTTTCCATTTATGCACTGAAAATGTTCACTGATGGGGCTGCAGAGATGGTTAAGAGCATGCACCACTATTACAAAAGACTCTAACTTCAATTCCCAGCATGCAAGCTGAGTGGCTCACAAGTCTGTAACTCCAGCTCCAGGGATTCAACAGCCCCTCTGACCTCCATGGGCACCCGCACTCACGTGCACAGATACATACATATACATATAATTAAAGTCACAATTAAAGCCAGACAATGGTGGTACATGCCTTTAATCCCAGCAATTGGGAGGCAGAGGCAGGTGGATCTCTGTGAGTTCGTGGCCAGCCTGGTCTACAAAGTTACTTCCAGGATAGCCAGGTCTACACAGAAAAACCCTGCCCCAGGGGGGAAAAAAAATTAAAAACAGTGTTGACTGAGTATCTTTGGTGAGCTGATCCAGTGCTGGCTGATGGAATGTGGTAGGAACACCTGTGACCCATCTGTGCCCTCTTAATGACCCCTAAATTCATGTGACAGCAGCGTCACTGAGGCCTAGGATCCAGCAATGCACAAGGAGTGCTGAGCACAGCTCTAAAAAAGGAACTGTGTCCCTCGCTGTCCTGGTCACGGAGCTTCACAGCTTGCCCGAAAGCTGACTTTTAATCCTTAAAAGAACATAAGCAATTACGCTGGCTATATTTATCCATGTTCCTGGAGCCACACAGGGATTTGGCCTCTCTCTACCAAAATCTCCAGCTCATCACTCATCCCATCAGCGACCATCATGTGTCCTCAGCACAAAAGCAATGGGCCAACACAGGCATACTGGCCCACAGCTCGGGGAGGCTCTTGACTGACCATCTGACCTTTGGCCGGGAAGAAGTTTTAAGGACCAGGAAAACAAAAGCTCATCCTGGGACAGAGGGACGCCAAGGGAGGAGACTTGGCTTCTTGCCAAGAATGCAGCCCGCCCTGGGGTTGATTGCTGGACAGTTTCTCTGGGAGCTTGACTTCCCTGCCCTGTTAACTTAGTGACTCCGAGAAGGCTCAGCACTTAGCAGACCCTGAGTGAACGAACACTGAGAAGCCGGCTGAGCAGGCCAGCAACAACAGGTGTCATTCACTGAACTAGGGATAAGGCACTGTGCCGGCCTCTTTGCATACATGCTCTAATGCTGCCATCATCGCCAAATACACACCATGTGTAGCTTCCCACCCCCACATCCTAAACGAAAATTTCAATGTGGAGAGCTGAGGAACCTTGCCACCGTCTTGCAGTTTGCTAACTCCAGTGTCTCTAATTCTAGGGTCCCCAAGTGACCAACCCAAGACCACAGCCTACAAACACAAGATCCCAATCTCTGTCCCTCCTCCAAGATAATAGTATCCCTTTCCCAATAAAATGCTAGCAGGGACTCCTTAAAAAAGGAATGTATACTTAAGCTGGGAGTGGTGGAACACACCCTAATCCCAGCTCGTGGGGGGCTAAGAAAGGAGGAGTGTGAGCAGCCCGAGCTCTAGAGAAAGATACTGCCTCAAACAATAAGTAAACGGAGAGAGAAAATAAGGTAAGAGAGGAAAGGATAAT